TCCCGCGCGGGGCAGAGTGGCTCTCTCTAGCTGAGCCCTGCGCTGTCTCCAGGGCTAGGGAGGTTCATGGGCCTGGCCTTACCAGCGGGAAGCAGGGATCCTGGAGACATGCTCCTGGAAGGCTGGAGAGCTCTCCCCATCCACGTACCAGCGAACCAGCATGTTAATGGTCTTGGAAATCTGCCGAGAGAGAAGGCGTCACTCCCCTGCAGAGCGCAGTGGTGTTCGGCTTGGGCCTGCACAGCATGACCTGACCTCGTGACCAGCCCCAGAGCAAACCCCAGGCTGGGGGCTGTCTGCAGGCGAGCGAGCACGTCTACATGGGGCTCTGGTCACAGAACGGACCCCTTGGCATCCCCATGTCCGTTCCCCATCACAGGGCAGGAGATCACTCTCCAGCCACGGCCTTCCACCAGCTGACTCCACACCCCCCAGCTGTCCCCAGCAAAGACTCTGCAGAGGGGGGCATCTGGCACGCCCAGCCTCCACTGCCACTGTACAATGTCCAAGCGGTTGCTCACGCTCTCCTCTCCCGCCAGCCTGCTCATGCCCTTGTCATCCGCCATGAACTCTCCTGTGTGCAGCGCCCAGCACAGCAGGCCCTGAGCCTGCCTGGATTGCTGGTTGCTATGGTTACGTGCCAGCAGCAGGGCATCTGTGCAGAGCTGGGGAGTCCCAGGCCGGTCTCTCCCGCACCTGGGCAGGAATTGGAGCCAGCTCCGTTGATTCGTTGGGAACGGTAATGAGCAGCCTACCAGGCCAATGCTGATGGCCTTGGTGAATCTGTCGTCAGCCTTGATGTGGTCGTACAGCTCCGCGATGGCTCGCTGCCTCAGCCAGGCGCTGTGGTGGGCTTCGTACACGTTCAGGATGGCTGAGACGGGAACAAGAGAGACACAATAAGGAAACTCTTACCAGCTGCCTGGTCCCAACTCCTGTGCAAGCAGGATCTGGCCCCGAGCCCCAGAGAGCTTCCCCCATCCCTTCCCCAGCTGGCCAGGGCTCTGGGGGGAGCAGGGCGAGAGCCCCAGGGACACAGCCCCAGAACGCTCCACACCTGGACTGAACCCTGGTTGTTTCACTGCTGCTCAGCCCGAGACAGCACCAGAGGGAAGGTGGGAAGCTGCTGAGTGGGGGACAGAACCCGAGGTATTAAGATTCACTCAGTGCCCCAGCACACAGCCCACGCTGGACTCAGCCTCCGCAGACACCTCAGAGACAGAGTGTTTGGAGTTGTTCTGTGAGCCCTGATTCAGCACCAGTGGCACCAGACAGTCAGGATGGGCCTGGGTTCAGCCTCCTCCAGCGGCAATCAGCACAGAGCCCAGCGCCTTTCCTACGTGCTGGACCCAGGTGGCTGCTGCTGGCTCGTGGCCGAAGTGAGCGAGCCAATGCCACACACAGATTGCCCTCGTGCCCACTGGGCAGGGCAGTAACTGTGGCACCATGCTGAGGCCAGGTGGGCATTGCTTTGTCAGGCACAAGCATTCCCTCCCGGGTTAGTAATGTACAGTCTTGCCAGCTTCTGGTCCCTGGCCACTCTGAGATCCCACTGGCAGGGCAAGGCTGACAGGAAGCTTGGGGGCTGCACTGGGGTTGGATGTGAGGCTATGGGGCAGCTCTCAACTCCACCAGCAACTCACGGCAGTGGGGTCAGAAAACAACCAGCACATCAACTATCCCCTGCCCTGCCCTGGCCAGGCCCAGCCAGTGGCCTACTCACCATTGGCGAGTGTGAGCAGCCAGCTGTGTGGGGTGTAGAGATTGCAGGCAGCCACGTTATTCCTCTGGGCCGGCCAGTCAATGCTGGAGTAGTCCTGGACGTACAGCTCCTGGCAGGGAGCAGGCGGGAGATTAGCCATCCGCTCACTAGCGCGCCATGGGAGCAGACCCATGAGACAGCTGCAAGTGTCAGGCTGGTGGCGTTGGCAGCCAGGGGGAGTACAGCACGGAGCACGCAGGGCAGCACCGGGGACGGAGGACAGTGCTGCTTGGCCCGCTTTGTGGCTCCACACCAGTCACCGGGACAGGTCCCATGTGGGAGCTGCTCCCAGCACCCTTTGCTAAGGAGAGTTAACAAGAGGAGAAAGCACCTTCAGATAGTGCCAGAACACCTGAGGGGGGCACCGGGGCCCCATGCGGCCTGGGGGGGCACACAGCCCTAAGGGGGGGGCTCCAGGGCCCACACAGGCCAGAATGGGGGGACCATGCTGGAGCATGCTCATGCAGTAGGGAGGGCTTAATTCTGGCTCGAGACCTGTGTGCCGGACTCCACCCCGCTCCAATTCACAGCAGGGCTCCCGGAGCCCAGTGGGCAGGGAGAAGACAGCCCCTAAGGCGTAACTCCCCTTCACGCCTAGGGGTGTTAGGTGCCCAGCCTGAGACACCAAGTCTGATTCGCAAAGGGTAGAGCTCAGCGCTCTCAAATCAGACCCCTCCTGGGGGGCCGACGGGGCCTCCCAAAAATCAC